TGATGCTGTACTGATTCCTCTTTTGACTTTGCCAGGTTTCTCTGTTATTCCTTCCTTCCTTTCCTGGTAAGTCCTGCAGCAGCCTATGTATTTTCCAGTTATGACACAAGGTCTAACTAGAAGGTTATGCTCTGTCTTTCCACCTCTGGTCTTTCCTCCATCGTTGTTCATAAACAATTTTCTAACTTATGTGCCTGTTGGAGTCCAAGTGTTCAGTGAATTCAGAATGCACTAGTAGTAAACAGGTGTCTGCCAGTAGGTGGTAGGCAGCACAAAGCATTTCTTCTGGGCAAGACACGCTTGAGGTTTGTGGCAAGCAAGTGAAAGTACTTCTTATTGGACCAATATGTTGGGTCCTCTACTCAGAGTACTGACAATTGCAGACGCTACTTAGTCACAGAGGACCCAAGCTACACTGTTTTGTTATTTTTCTTCTTTTGAAGTGCTCAGATCCAGGTCTCTACTTCTTTTCCAATTCTTCAATAGCTCAGGTGCAATCTCTGATATATTGCTCACTGGCTTTCAGTTCGCTGATACCTTGCTTTGCAAATAGAAACACATACTGTGTCTTTTTTCCCATGAGCCAGACGTTTCCTTTAGCCTGGCCATTATTGGAATGCTGGCTCCCTCCCTCAGGGTGCCCAGTGCTCTCTGCAGATGCATGTCCATTGGACCTGGGACATATAAGGGGTTCTGTGGTCCGAGTATTGTCTGCCTTCCCTGTCTGAACCTGCCCAATAGTGAAATATTATTCAGTGAATGTTTCTGGATCTTTGCCTTCCCATATGTTCTTTCCAGTGAGTCTCCTTTTCTCTGGTTCATGTGTTGCAGCTTCCCTCCCACCGTGCCACCACCTAGTGGGCCACGATGCTGCTGAGTGTATTCTTCATTTTATTTTTGGAGGGATCATACCTATTTTGTAGGAATATAATGAACTGTTGTGTAATAATTTTTCTAACCTGAATCCTGATAAAAATACTAGCTATAACAGTAATCTATTTTATAATCTGCTTTAACTATAGAGATAAATAAATTCCTTTCTGAAATTTTTTTCAAAATTTTATTGATAAACAGCAATGAGACAGTTTCAAATCAAATCGGAAGTACAGATGCAACAAATAACACACTTCATGTATTCTTCTTAGTGGTTAATTGCTGTACAAGATGCGGACTTGAGATCCTACTTACAAACACCATTAGAACATATCATTCTATTCATTAAGAGAATGCAACTATATATCTATCCTCACCACTTTGAATACACAGATACAAAATGGACATTCATCTGTATACCTCATTTTTTCTAAGTTCCATTATTGACTATTATAGGTGTGTAAACTCAGCAAAATATTCTAAAAGAGTCCAGTAGCCCATAATAGCATTGGGTCT